CCCCAAAACCCCAAAACCCCAAAACCCCAAAACCCCTTTAAGTTACAATAGTTAAAAATTAAAATTAATGAAATTAAACTAAAATTCAATTGCTTGTTAGGAATATTATTACGATAGTATTTCTGATAATCTTGGCTGAGGAGGATGTCTCGAACAAGAGTTATTTTTACTATTAAAACTTTTAAGCAAAAAGTCATCTTCAGCAATGTCATTTTGAGATTTATCCACCTCACTTTCATTTCTACTTGAGTTTTAACGCCTATGATTGGATTTTAAGATTGCCATTTTAATTTCATCTTCCTCATCAGTTTACTAATTACGATCTGTTTATTCTTAGTAGAAATTAATATTTTTATTAGATTACGTTTTATTACTAGTACCTCTGTATAATTAAAGTTTAAATTGAGAAGGTTTATTAGATTGTGATCCTTTTTTTGCATAATAGTAAGCGCTTTTTGTTGAATCAATCCTTCTTTAAGGTAAAATTAGATGATTTTATTAGAGGTATTTTGGAGCTTGATATGAATATGATGATTAAATTTCAAGGTTGTTAGGACTATTATATGTATTATCAACATTTTCATATTCCTATTCTATTTGTATCTAGGGTAACTACTTTGTTGATTCTTTATCTTAAACTGTTTGTTTAGAGCTTTAACTAGGGATACTTTGAGTATTTAAAATCTTTTAACTTCCAAAAATAGATAAATTTGAATTACTAACAGTCTCTGATGGTAATTTATTAAAGAGGATATTGTCGAAATGATTTTATACCTACTGCTCTGATAAATATTTTTTTTCTTTAGGTGGATATTTCCTCCTATTCATTAAGTTGATGAAGCCTCTATCACTTTCGTAGTCTAATTTCTCATCCTCTGGCAACTCTTCAATTACTGGCAAATCAGGTTATTTAAGCAAAAATGTTAGTTTAGGAGGCATATTTAAGCCCTTCAATAATGGATGTTTCTAAGAAAAATTAGTGAACGCAAATTTTTTAATAGCTAGTCCAAGACGCTTTTATTTTCTTAAAATGATAAACCTTCTAATCAAATTCTGAATTCTTAAAAATAAGGCATAAATAATCATTATGATATTTACAATTGCATTTGTAGCATATATTGCAATAAATAAATAACCAGATTTTTTCTGAAATAATGTATTCCTTATCCAATCACAATACATCAGTATTAAATGACTAATTGCCAATGTACATAACTCATTAAAAATTTCTAATTTAAAATTATTCCTAATTGGTTTAAACCAAAGAAGATATATTATCTAGAGAATATTTGAAGATAAAAAAAACAACAGCTGAACAACTAAGATATGGTCAAACATAAATACAACAGCAACAAACATAAATCTTCTCAATATAAATAAACTATAGTAAAATTTTGCAGATCGAGTCTTATCTAGATTTAAAGTTAAAATAATTTCACTAAATCTCTCAGCTAATCTCAGATTGTCCTGTTTATAATATTTTATTTTGTAAAGAATAAACGGTAAATTTATTGCTAGAAATATCAGAATTACAAGAAACACAAGCCCCATTAAATAGCAAAATACTTCTCCAAAGTTAGAGGAAGTTGGGTTTTAAAAGTTTAGAACCATGGAAAATGTTGACTCAAGGGATAACTCAATGAAAAATATCACTAGAGTATTATAGAAAAGCATTTTACTGATTTTAGTAGAGATTATTTTAATCCTAAAAAAATTTAACTAAATAAAATTACCAATATGTATTGATCCATTATATCAAGAAATATATAACAGCAAGAGCAATGTAAAACCCCAAAAATATCAAAGGAGATCCTATTAAATACAAGAAGTTAGAGCTATCATAACCTAGAAAAGCGAATCTTACATTATAAGGTTCATATTCCTCTGAAGGTTTTAAGTTAAAAAGCCATTTTATTTACTCTTCAATTTTATAAGGATCTAAATTTACAACATCAAAAACTGCTTATAAGAAAAGCAGAATATTTAAAGTGTAGTGGATTTAAAACAGAGGAGTATGAGTAATTAGTTGAAGAGTATTTATGAATCCCCAAAGCATTTGTAAACTTGTTCCTGAGAATGTTCCAATTATTATTCCACTATAAATAGAAGCTGAAAGTATATCTGTAATGATCTAGTTTGTCTGTTTTTGATTATCAATTTCATCTTAGTCTTCATTAGTTTATTATGGAATTACTCTTTATGATTAAAAATTTGATAAGATAGGTAGATTAGTGTCCTTAGCCATAAATAGTTTATTGTTTGTAATCTGAATTATCAGTTTATCGCTATCAAAGCCAGAAGATATGCTATATTAATCTATGAAGTTTAACTTAATCTTTAAAATTTTGCCATCGAAAGACTAGACATCAAAAGAATCTAAAACATTATAACTCTCAAAATCACTTCCAAAAGATATGCTCAAAGATTATTTCAAAAGTTTATTGAAATTTTTAGGCACTACTATAGGTTTTGAAAATTCAATCGTTGCATAAGAATCAGTACTGATTTCTGTGATTGTCATTGAGAAATTTTCATCAAAGCGCTTATAGTCTGTTTAATTTATTGAAGGCTCTAAGATTGCTTTATTATCGTGAGGTCTAGAGGTAATATTCAACTCTATCATGTATTAGTTAAAAACTATGAAATCATCGAATTCTGAAGACAAAGTCACAATTAAGTATGATTAGCCATTAATGCCAAACGGAGGAGTCAAATCCAAATGAGTATTGTTGTAATTAATATAACCAGGCAATGATTCCTAGAAAAGCAAATCTATTTTAAGGTTATAAAGTGATGTATTCTTATAGTTACAGACCTCTGGAAATTTATAGGTATTATTAGATCCTGCAGAAAGATTGATGATGTTTAATAGTTCAGTTATAAAAAAGGGGCCACTTTCTAAATTTGGTACAATCATTCCAGGACATAAATAAATTATATAACTTTCTTGACCTATCTAATTAGTATTGTTTTCTTAAGAATTATTTTAGGATGAAGTATTTGTATTGTTAACAACTGCGCTATGATTTGAGCTATTATCAGTGTTATTGATGTTTTGATTGTTATTACTTCCCTCATCTGAATTTGTGTCATTCTAAGTAGAATTCAAATTTTATGTATTATTAGTACTGCCATTTCCACCAGTGTTATTTGTCATATTATTCAATGTTTGATTAGTATGATTATTTATAGATTCATTTTCTGTGAAAGATTCATTATATCCATAAGTATTGTTTTTAATATCAATATTATTTATACTATGAGAATTATTTGATAAATTTGTGTTATTTGAAATATTTTCGACATTTGTATTATTTGTTTAATTACTATTTATGCTTTAACCATTTTACTCTGAACTGGAATTCGTACCATTTGTCTAATTTGTCATTGTTTCATTATTAGAGGGTTGAGTTGTTGTTAGTATTATTGTTTGAGGAATTTGTATTTGTATAATTGTTTGGTATCAATGGATTAATAATGATCGAAAAGAATATGGTTGATGAAAACGATTTAGTGATAGTAGCCTTAAGTTTTATTTGATAAGTATTTGCTGTTTGATTATCTTGGGTGTAAATTTCAAATTGAGAGCCTTAATCATAGTTATTCTGAGTAAATTTTATGAATGATGGTAAATTTGAATCTTCTTATAATGATGCTTTATATTCCCAGTAGGCATCTATACAAGTTTTGCTATAAGTGAAATCTTATAACTAGATTTTTAGTTTTGTTTCATTAACTCTATAGGTATAAATGCTCTGAACTGGAGGATTAGTTATAATGCCTTAATTTTACTTTGCAAGCATGGTGCTTGGCAACTAACTAACATTAATATTTTGTAGCTGTTCTAAAGATATTCCTTACAAAGTTTTTAACTGTATAGCTTCATTAGATGGCTACAATGTTAGCAACTATCCGTTAACAATTTTTAGGGTGCCAGTCAAAATAGACTAGACAAATATTGTTTAAACTTGTACTGGAGCATTTACAGAGCTAACTACATATTCTAGATTAATGTTAGAATTTGGGTACTCATAAATAAAAGCTTGTTTTTTGTCATAAACTTGATTATTTATTTAAGTTGTAGATCCTACCATTATGTACCTTTAAGCAACCAGTTTGGCAGACTATGTAAATAGTGTCTATGTCTTAAGTGTACTTAATCTTAGTGGTAATAGAGAGATAGATGAGCTAAGTGAAGTGAGAAAAGAACCACCATATACCAAACTATTTTAAATATTGAAAATGGTATACACTGAAGCAGCATCAATAGCAACATCAAGACAGTTAGATTTTGCAGTAGTTGTGAAATACCATGATTTCTAGAGAGTGGCAATTCCAAGTATTTCTTAAATGTAAATCAAGACAATATCTTGAGCACTTGATCCTAAGTTTTCAGCACATCCAATGGTTGACACTTAATTTCACAGTTCTTTCATCTTGTCCTGTCAATGCTTCTTGAAAATAGTTTATTCTGGATATGGTCTAAGTTGCAGGACCATCTGAGTTAGAAATTGTTAAAGTAAATTAAGAAGTACCATCAGCTACTTTTATCTTTGTAATAGAGAGTTTGCTATTTAAGTTTCCACAAAAATATCCATAAGATAAATCTTTTAAAAATGTTGAACCAAACCCCAAAAAATTATTTCCAGTTGAGCCATATGTTTTATAATATAGACTGCTTATCGAAGTATAATCATTGCTAAACTAGAAAGCAGAAACTTTAACTCAATTAGACTCATATGTTAATAGAACTAACTTTCCAGATGATGACAATTTAGCTCCAATTGCAGATCTTTAACTCTTCACTCCTTATGTAGTGTCATACTCATACCAGGATTGAATTAAATTGCCGTTGGATTTAAGCAAAACACTTATAGAATAATTTGGGGATTCAGATATAATAATTATGTAGCCTCCTCCACTAGGAGATGTCTCTTAATAAGTACAATATGATATAGATGTAGGTTAAATCTAAGATGTTACACCAACATTATACTTAATTTATCGATTCCAAGTGGCGACACCAGTATTTTGGTCTATTTAAACAACTATTCCTGATGGAGTTTAATTTACTATATCTGATGATTAGGATGTCCCAGCCACTAAATATTATTTATTATTAGCGTCATAATCTAGGCAATTAAACTATGTCATGCCTTGCATTCCACCTAAAATTTATGGAGATTGATACACGGGAATCGATGAGAAGCAAATATCTGTTGAATTTACTAGTAGATTACGTTTTAGCATCATCCCTAATTTTGATAGGGTAATTTGGAATATAGACATCATTAATGCCAGTCTCTATAATATCGATATCATTTAAATAGAAATATATCAAATATAGCGTTAATTTATTGTTTTAATTAAGTAAATATATAAATTTACTCAAAACTCATCATCATGGGGTTTTGGGGTTTTGGGGTTTTGGGG